GCTGGGTTTGATCTCCGGTTTAAAAAAAAAAAGTATTTACTCTTTGAAGGATAGGGTTGGGGTTCAGAAATATTTCTTTTTAACCAAGTACATACCTTTCTTTAATTACAAAAAAGAAAATAATAATCCAGTAAAATACAAATATTGTTGTTCCTTATCAGATAGCATATTTAAAAGGATCCTTCCTAACAATGTGTGTTGCTGGAAACTTAACCTAGGAGCTGGGGTGTGCTAAGTAAGAGCTCCACTGCCCAGCTTCAGCACCTGCCCTTTAAAATCTAAAGGAATCGGGGTGAATCCACACTGTAGCCAGGCAAACCTTGAATTCATAATCCTCCTGCTTCAGTCTGTGGAGTAGCTGGGATTACAGGGTTATGGCCTGGTCTGGGAGTAAATCTTTACTACATACTTTATAGTTAACTGTAAAAAGCTGAAAAAGGAACCAAGCAGTGGTAGTGCAGGCCTTTAATCCCAGCACTCAGGAGGCAGAGGCAGGTGGACCTCTGTGAGTTCAAAGCCAGCCTGGTCTACAGAGTGAGTTCCAAGACATTCAGATCTGTTACACAGAGAAATCCTATCTCAAACAAACCAAAGGAAAACAAAATGAAAAAGGTAAAATTATGTAATCTTAATACATCTTCAGCCCAAGAAACCAAACTCTAATTGCAGCAACTTGTAAGTGGTAGTTTCAATTATGAAGTTTCAATTTTCTATAATAGGGAATTAAAAGACATTTATAGCCTTCAAAATATATGGAACAAAAAACTAAAATTATAAAACATAAGTTACATATTAGGCTTATGTCCTAATTATGTTTTATGAACACTGTACATAGTGCAGTTACATACATGTAACTCACACATAAACATTTTTAAAATACACTAGAAAAATATTTTTAAAAAGTACACATAGACGTCACTAAAATTAATATTTCCAGCTGGAGATGCAGCTCAGTGGTAGTACAGGGCTTGCCAACCATGTGTGAAAGCCTGAGTTGTATCCAGAGCAACACACATAAACACACACACACAAAGGAACACTACAAGACTATGAAAAACACAATTTAGTGCTGTGACTCTGTCTTCCTAAAGCTGCGACCCTTTAATAAAATTCCTCACATTGTGGTAATCCCTGCCATAAAATTGTTTTCACTGCTACTTCACAACTGTAATTTTGTTACTATTATGAATCATACTGAAAATATCTGTGTTTTCTGATGGTCTTAGGTGATCCCTGTGAAATGGTCATTCAACCCCAGGGGTCACCACTCACAGGTAGAGAACCACTGATGTAGTGATTTCTCAAAATGATTTTTAAAGAGTTGCCAAATGGCCTAGCAGTTCTACTTTTCTATACCAAGACAAATGAAATCAGGCGTTTAAGCCAATGCTGCCAGCAGTCTTATCCGCACTAGCTCCAAAGTGAAAACAACTGAAACATTCACCAGCTGCAGTGTCTGAATTGTGATCATTTCTTTTTGTTTTGTTTTTTGAGACAGGGTTTCTCTGTAGCTTTGGAGCCTACCCTGGGACTCGCTCTGTAGACTAGGCTGGCCTCGAACTCAGAGACCCACGTGCCTCTGCCTCCCCAGTGCTGACATTAAAGGTGTGCTCCACTACCCCTGGTCAAGAGTGTCATTTAAATGGAAGTAGGAAATGTGTACTGACACACTACAACATTGGTAAGCCTGAGGAACACGACACTGGGTGAAAGAAACAAGCACAAGCCCTCGAGCTGGTTCTCGTCAAAAGTCCTCTGGGAAGCAGGAATTTCAATTAAGGAAGTGCTTCCACCAGACCAGCTTGTGTGCACACCCGCAGGGCATTTTCTGATTAATGACTGATGTGGGAGGGCCCAGCCCACGGGAGGCAGTGCCGCCCCTGAACAGGTCCCGGTATATAAGAAAGCAAGCTGAGCAAGCCCCGGGCAGAGCAAGCCCCGGGCAGAGCAAGCCCCGGGCAGAGCAAGCCCCGGGCAGAGCAAGCCCCGGGCAGAGCAAGCCCCGGGCAGAGCAAGCCCCGGGCAGAGCAAGCCCCGGGCAGAGCAAGCCCCGGGCAGAGCAAGCCCCGGGCAGAGCAAGCCCCGGGCAGAGCAAGCCCCGGGCAGAGCAAGCCCCGGGCAGAGCAAGCCCCGGGCAGAGCAAGCCCCGGGCAGAGCAAGCCCCGGGCAGAGCAAGCCGCTGGATGCAAGGCAGCAAGCAGCACTCCCCTCCTCCACGGTTCCTGCCTCTACTTCCTTTACTGCTTTTGGTAACATGTTTATCCCAGCAACAGAAACATAAGTAGAACATTGTATCTTGTGCACTCCAAACATCCCTGAATAGGCAATTACAGAGAAAGAAAGCTGATGGGCTCAGGAGGTTGGAGAAGAAAAAAAAATGGTGGGTGTGGGAAGCCTTTAGATCAGTGGTTCTCAACCTGTGGGTTTTAACCCCACAGATCTCAGATAGTTACAATTCATGACAGTAGCAAAACTGCGTATATATACGAAGTAACAAAGTAGCAATGAAGTAACCTTATGGTGGGGGGGGTCACCATATGAGGTCTTAAAAGGCGGCAGCATTAGGAAGGTTGAGAACTGCTGCTTTAGAGTTAAGAGATTGTGGGAGGGACAAAAGAATGTTCTGCAGTTACAGTGAGGCGTTACTCATCCTGCAAATGTGCTGGAAGCCAACATATTGTACGTTTCCAAATGGTAAATTTTGTTTCACAGACACCCACAGCTAAACACTGAACTGAACTCCTGGAATCCGGTCACACAAAGGGAGAACTGATGAGCAAAGGGGTCAAGACTGGGTTGGTTTAACCCACAGAAACAGCTGACCCCAGCAAGGGGGAGCTCACGGACCACAGACTGATGGCTGGGAGGACAGCATGGGACTCATCCAGACCCCTTGAATGTGGGTGTCAGTGAGGAGGCCTAGGCAATCTATGGAGCCCTAGGTGGGAGATCAATATTTATCCCTGGCACACAAATGGACTTCCAGGGTTCATTCCACGATGGAGGATGCTCTCTCAGCCTGGACTCTTGGGGGAGATCCCCCATGGAGGGCCTCACCCTCCTGAGGGATCAGAGTGGGGATTGGGGGGCCTGGGGGGAGGGGAGAGAGAGAGGGAATTGACATGTGAAGCAAGCTTGTTTCTAATTTAAACTAAAAAAAAAAATGAAAAAAATTATAGGTTTGCATTGTTTTTGGTTTTACAAGACAGAGTTTCTGTGTAGCCTCAGCTGTTCATGGCTGCCCTAGAACTCACTCTGTAAACCAGGCTGGCCCGGAACTCAGAGGGATCAGCCTGCTTCTGACTTCCAAGAGCTGGGACTAAAGGTGTGCATTATCATTACCCATTGGATCAAAATTGTTTTAAGAAGAAAAGAGTAACAAAATACTAAACACTAACCAGAGAAGAAACCCTAGATTGTTTCCAAAGCCTTCCTGGTTCTATGGTAAAAAACCAACTAAATTCCACAGGAGCTCTGCCTTTCAGGGTAGCTCTCCAATGGGTTAGTCCCCTCATTGTGCTTGCTAAAATCAATTAATAGAACTCGTGGTGCCTGCCCTAATCATCATGCAGGCAGAGAAAATTTAGTTAATATCTTTTTCTCCCTCCCCAACACTGAAAAATACGATAAATAGGCTCGATCTCCATAATTTCACTTAGTCATTTAGTTCAGTAGCATCTGTTTATCATGATTTACAAAAATTTGGCTGGCAATGAGAGTAGCTGGAAGCATTTGCATAAAGGAATTTTATTTACATATTTTCCTCCTTAAACATCCATCTCAAAATGGACAAGTCCTGGAAGCGCAGGCAAGCTCCTGTGGTGGTTTCTGCTTCCCAGTCACACCAATGGTCATTAAGAAGCAACAGAGCATTTACAGCTGCTCGACTGGGAAGAAAAACTTGAGGACCTTCTACTAAAATATGGGCAACCAAGCAAAAACAAGAGAAAGCAGAAATATGGATTCCTGTCATTGTAAGTTGTCTCCAAAGCCAAGTGGGGAAAGGGAACTTGGCTTGTTTATCATGAAATCACAACAGTCTTCTAGGTAACCTAGGAAAGCATTTTCCAGATTGTATTTCTTTGGAAGTACTTAATTCCACGTTCATACAGTACTTAAGTATTATTTCAGGATTCTTTCTATAGTAATATTTCTTAATTAACGTGTGTGTGTGTGTGAGAGAGAGAGAGAGAGAGAGAGAGAGAGAGAGAGAGAGAGAATGTTTGCCATGCAAGTATGGAGGTTCCGAGGACAACTTGGATTTCCACCATGTGGGCTCTGGAGCTCAAATTCAGGTTGTCAGCTTTGGTGGCAAGCATTTCTGCCTCCTGTATTCCTTGAATAGAAATTATGATTATCTCACCTACACATGTTGTTAAATGGGGAAGGCAAGTAAGGGAAGGACATGGTGAATACATGCTATGTGTCTGACAGATAAGAGGATCAGGAGTTCAAGACCAACCTGGTTTAACAAAAAGCAAAGCAACACAAACAAAACCACATATAGTAGTTGTCTTACTACTTCTAGGAACCAAAACAAAATTACATTGTTTTGTCACAATATCCACTGTTTGGTAATCATTCGGAAAGGATATGTAACAATATCAGTTATTAATATATCTAAGTGCTAATACAGAAGGAGCTACATGAATATTTACATGCACATGTTATCATATCATTACTTGTCGTGATAAAATATTCTGACAAAGGCATGTAACACATTTAGTAAGTATCTGAAAAGTGGCCAAGTACTGTGAATGATAAAGGAACACAACACAAAACTTCCCAAGCACACGTTGCGTTCTGTCAGTCAATGTGGCTATTGTAGTCTGATTGCGGCTAAGAGTCATATCATCAAATGGGACCCTGTTCAAAAGAGCTGGCTGTGGGCCTCAGAAACTTCATCCAAAAGAGCAAGTTTCAGAAGAGGCGAAAATGCCCTTTCAAAACACCAGGGCAGAAAGCAATATTGACTTTTTTAAACACAAAATAAACACAAGTTAGAACAAAATGTTTTATTATTAAAATAAAAACCTTTGTATAAAAGCATTACAGAGCAAAAGCTGTATTTACACTGAATGAGCATCACAGACAGTAGGGCACAGCCACAGGTTCCACATGGGAGGGTATCAGTAACCAGTCACTTACCGAATGACCTGAGGGAGGGAGGGTAACTCACAGATTCTGCCCATAAACTGGCAGAGGTAACTCGTTGACAAGTGGTTCAAATCTACCCATCTTTACTGCTCATCATTACAAAACTGTTTAGAACCTAAATAGAAACCCTGGACATGACCCCCAGAGCATTCTCTTCAGGAAACTGCCAGGAACCAAAGTGAAGTTATTTAAATCAAGTTTCTGATGCATAACATCATGATTTCAAATCAGCCCACTACAGATTCCCAGAAATGTCTTTTCTATAGCAACTTAAGTAATTATGGTACCATGTTGTCACAAACCTTTGGGTGACTTTATAAGCCGGATGAACCACTTTAACTTAAGGTCTCAAATGTGACAAGGTATACACTGAGCATGATACAAAGGAGTTGCAGTCTCCGGAAAGTCACTCACTGTGCTACTCCACTTCCCAACAATGACTAATTTTTCCACGCCGTTTTCAGAAATTTGTCTGTGCCTTAGCCCCATCCATTTCAAGCACAAGCCAACAGAGTACCGGACATTAAACTGCACGAGCTGACTCTGTGTAAACAAGCTAAGGGACCGTTCTCTGCAGGTCATCAGAACTGTCGGCTCACAACCTAAGTGCTTGGTATCCTGAGACTATTTCAACACCATAAGACAAACATGCTTTCTAAAATTGCCGCTTCAAAAGGACTCAGCAACTAAGTGGTGGGAGTAGGGAGGCTACAAGGTAGGGCCAGGCAAGCTTTGGGAAACTACACGTAGCTCAAGTGTAACTAACGGTATGCCTTCCATGATGTTTCAGAAACAAGTGGGAATCTAACAAGATTAACCTGACCGAGTTCTAAGACAGACTGACCACCAAGATTCTTACTCAGGTTCCGTCAATGACAATATCAAGAACAAGAGGGCCTTGAGACGCTGAAAGGCAGGTGGAGGATCTTCAGGCCTGCATTTCAAATTCCTGCTTCAGACTGAAAAACAAAGGGGGGGGGGATGTCAAGACGGTTTTCAACCAATAATTCTCTTTGGAAAGTCAAATTCATTTCTCAAAAAAAATTTTTTTTCTTATGGAGCCCTAAGATACATATTGTCCATGTGTCTGAAAGACACACAACCTGAATGTTATTAATATCCATGACTGGCTCAAACGAAGATGTATTTCCACTAACATTCCCCTGCCCCAAGAGAGCCACTCTTCAGATTTCTATCATCTTATTAAGGCACACAAATGAATGTAAGACTCAGACATGAAAGAGAAAAATCACAATGTCCATTACCTTTTCAAGTAAGCATGCACATTCCCGAAGCCATGATACTTGGCCAAATACACCAGGACTCCCGTGGCGCACCGTCCATCACGCTGGCGGCAGAAGCTACAGTTGCAGATTCCTCGACAGGGTGGGCAGTGCCAGTTCTAAAGAATTGTGGGAAAGCACCCTGAAGCTAAGTATCTACCCTGTGACTTTTTTTTCCCGAGATAGGGTTTCTCTGTGTAGCTTTGGAGACTGTCATGGAACTAGCTCTGTAACCAAGCTGGCCTGGAACTCACAGAGATCCGCCTGCCTCTGCCTCCTCAGTGCTGGGATTAAAGGCGTTCGCCGCCGCCGCCGCCACCACCACCCGGCTACCATGTAATTTTTTTTTAAATAACTAAATTATAAAACAGGGGTCTGAATTTCTGGCTCAGTGTGAGAGCTTTTGCCTAGCATTATGTACACACACACACACTCTCCCCCCCCCCCCACATAAGAATTCAAGAAAGTTACATAACTATCGGCACAGATGAACTTCTGAGCAGCAGCCCAAGCTGTCTGGACAGTTACGCCCATGCAGCAAGCACCCCACCATAGCCATAGTCTCCTGCCACCAAGCACTCAAGCCCCTCCCCAGCCTTTGAAGGTCCCTACCGGGTCCAGCAGAGCATCCTTGACCTCTTCACCGTAGCGGTTTCGAAGGCAGGGGCCACAGAACTGGCCCCGAATGCCCCAGCAGTCTGGGTTCCTGCAGTTTGTTTTGGTATCAATAGTCTTCTGGCGACACTGGTGACAAGTGGAACCCTGAAAAAAGGACCAGATGAGAGAAGAAACAAACACTGCTTTTTGTAGAGAAAACCAAACCAAACCAACAACAAAACGGCACAAAGAACATCCACACTGGTAAAAAGACACCTGACCCTTGATCTTTGAAGTTCACTTAGCACCTACATACACAATGAAAAGTACTTCAAGAGAGGCTTCCCACTCTATCGGGGGTACAATAGTAATATCATCAAAACTACTTGGTGGGAGGTTCAAGGACAGAGTACATGTTTAATCCACTTGAGTTCCTGAGTTTGATCCCTAGCATGGGAAAAAGAAAATTCCACCCAAATCCATTTCTTAAAAAATCTCTGGCTCACCACTGCATCTCCAGCAGCTGTCGATACATACCCTAACAACACACAGTAAATGCCAGCTGAATGCATCAACTTCTAAATTAAGATATAACCCTACTGCAGACCCCATAAGCACACTAATTCAATCCCAGGCATACTGTAAAACTCCTCTTCCCATTTATAGAAAAAAACAAAAACCTGCACAGGCATGAATGCACAGACCATACACCATGTGCAGCCCCCTAGGGCTGATGCTGCCTATTCCTGTGGAGGGTGCTTCTGTGCCGAGACACACATAACCTTGGGACACTCACCAGTGATCGGTTGTAGATCTTCTCTCGAGAATTGCTGCAAATGTTCTTGATCTCTTCCTCTGTAACTTCTTCTACTGGGCGAATTATATGTGGAAGGGTCATGGATCCAGGGCGACGACTTCTGGGCCCATCATCGTCCTGAATAAGAAGCATGAAGCTAAAGTCCCCCCTGCAGTCCTAAATCTCAAGACGCCTCCTTTGAAACCTTTCACAGAAAACTCAGTCTGGGAAAGCTTTCTCGCTTATGGAGAGAGGCAGCAGCCCATAAATTTACTGTAAGGATAACTGCCCCAAAGCATAGAAATACTTCCTGTAATAAGGATAAGCTGAAAATCCGAATCTTGTCTGCTAACAAAATTAAGTCTGCTTATGCAGCCAGCATTAATGACTTGGAATGATCTGAGGCTGTGTGTTCAAAGCTAAGCTTCCTGACGATGGGAAACATACGAGAAGATACCAGTGAGGACTCACATTCATGTAGCCGTCCACAGACTTTCTCCTTCTCACTAGCATGTATTTATCCTCTTCCTCTTCTTCCTCCTCCTCCTCTGTGGGCAGAGCCCCCAAAGACCCCAGGATCCGGGACCTTGACCTGGTAAGAGGCCGGGCTCTCCGTTCCGGGTTTCTTCTGGAAGCCACACCTGGGAATGTGCGTCTTCTGGGTGGCTTTGACTGGTGAATGAAACACACAATAGAGATCCACTTGCTCTACTACAGAGAGAAGCAGCACTCTGGGGAACCTGCAACTTTCCCTCAAGGAGTTCCAGGTAAAAGAAGAGCCCCATTTTCATGTTTTCTTTGCGCTTTTTATAATGTGCAAACAACAAACCCCAAAGCCATATAGCCACTGCAATTTTTACTTATTTCTATTTAATTCTTCTGCCATTTACTCTTCTGTCTGGGTTACTAAATATGTAAATCCCGAGGTCCTGACCCAAAAGCCTTTCCTATGACATCTCTAGACTCCTGAAACACACATGCTATCTCCATATTATACATACTATACAAAGAATGCTTGGGGTTCTTCCCTGCATTTCTTGCTGGCTTCCAGCCTGACTCCCCATGGGGAAACAGGGAAGTGCAGGGTGTTCTTTTCTACCATAGCCAACACAACAAATTTTACCCACCCTCTTCACACCCACCTCCCTTGGGACACAATCAAATACCATTTTTAGGATAAGACTTGGCAAAGAAATTGTGAGTACTTTCTTTTCCCTCAATCTGTTTCAAAAAACACCTATTTTGCAACTAGCATGTATTAAAAAAACATGTTGCTTGGGGACATAGAAACCAGCTGTCAAAAGGAGCATGGCCACAGGGTGGTAGAGCCAAAGTGTTCAAGGTACAAAGATCACCAGAGCCTCAAGCAGGCTGTTTATAGTGACCCCGCACCCCACTAGGGAAATAATATCCTAAACAGAGATCTGCCCTGGGTTTGTCCAAAACAAGTTTAGAAAGAAGCACTTACAACTTTGGACCTGTGGCCGGGGAGGGAATGTCTTCCAGAGAACAAGCCAGGGAAGCTTTCTAATTCTGACATGAGTTTTGCAAGCTGAAGAGGGGAAGAAAGTAAACAGAAATTATAACTGGTGACAACAGGCAATTTGCAAAATATCGCTACCCCTCAACTTTCTGTTTAATAAGTTGACACAGTCAAGTTTCTGATTTCCCCACTATGCTTATCCTAGCTCTCAAAAGAGCTTAATAAGCAGCTGGAGGGGCTGGAGAAAAGGCTTACCAGTTAAAAGCACTTGTTGCTCTTGCAGAAGACTTGGGTTCAATTCCCAGCATCAGCATGGTAGCTCACAACCATACCTAACTCCAGTTCCAGGGGATACAAAATGCCCTCTTCCAGCCTCCAAGGACAACACACTTATAGCATAGCCCCCTCCTCCACATAAATAGGAACAAATATAAACATTCAAAACACATAATGAAGTCTTCACAGCTACATGGAAACAGCTCTTGAGAGAGAGAGAGAGAGAGAGAGAGAGAGAGAGAGAGAGAGAGAGAGAGAGAGAGAGAGAGAGAGAGAGAGAGAGAGAGAGGTAGGAGAAATGAATGCTCAGAGAAAAGCCGGGAAAGGTTGCAAAGCGTCTAAACACTCACCATTGCTTTGTTTTGCTTTACATTTAAAGCCCTTTTCTCCATAAAGTTCATGCCATCTTCTTCTTCAGAGTCAGAATGGGAATCGCTTGCAGAGTTCTCAGGGGGTTTTGAGGGGACTGCTTTTTTGTTGGCTGGCCCCCGGGTGTTTCGTGCTGGGAACTTCATGGCTACCCTGAGTGGTCCGGAGTGACGGCACTGACTTCGGGTCCTGCAGCCTTCCCTGTCCAACTGCAGTCTCTACAGTTAACCAGAGCAAGGGAGTTGTTAACAAGATGCTGACTGGCGGAGAAGCAGCACCAATGACTACTACAAAACCCTTTTGAATAAAGGACCAGAGCAAAGCAGCCAGAGGTGGACAGGAAGGATCACGCGTAGCAAAACCAACCGTTGCAAATGAATACAATGGGAGAACAGCTTCTCTTGGTTGCTCGCCCGAGACACTGGGCCACCTTCACAATGCTTCTGAATCACTGTTTCTAAAACATTGAAACTCTTGCCCACCTCCCATTTCCTTAAAAATAATCCTTAGTCATTTTCATAAAGTCCTCTAGGAACATCTACACTCACCCATAAACATGGTTTCAATGCCTATGATGACATTAAATAGTACCTAAACTATCAATTTCCAATTCATTTTTAATTATGATTAAAATATACATCACTACTGTACAGCCTTCACTTGGACCATTTCAAGATTTTATCTTCCTTAACTGAAACGTCAGACCCATTCAGCAGTAAGCTGTGTTGTACCCAACTAGGATGGCCCATATCAGTTAAGCCCTACGTGTAGGAATCCTGGACTGCACAGGCTAGTTTGAGCTACACAGCCAGACCCTGGCTCAAAAACAAACAAAAACTATTAATTCCTCCTACCACCAGTCCCTGGCAACCATCTTTCTAGTGTTTGAATTTTACTAATATAGGTACTACTCTTAACCTTGTGTAAGTCAAGATCTAGATGAGATCATGGCTGGGCAGTGGTGACACACGCATTTAATTCTTGTCTACTACAGTGAGTTCCAGGACAGGCTTCAAAGATACAGAAACCCTGTCTCAAAAAACCCTAAAATTAGTTATCACTTCATAGCTAAATCTGTCAGCTTGCTCAAACACTAAACAGTCTCTAGATATCCCAGCCATCTACTCCTAGACCCAAGAACACATATCCACAAAAAAGCTTTGGACATCAATGTTCATGACAGCATTACTCTCATATTTGCATGTGTACACATGTATAGGCCTGAGTTTAATATGAGGAACCATCCTTGACCTTTCTAATTGAGACAGAGTTGTCTCTCAATCAAACCCAGAGCTCACTGACTTGCCATATCTTGCTAATCAGCTTGCTCTAGGGATTATCTCTGAGAAGCTGGAATTACAGATAAGCCACCATACCCACTAAGCATTTATGTAGGTTTTTGGAGACCAAACTCCAGTCTTTATACTTGCAAGGCAAGCTGAGCCACCTCCCCAGCCCCTCAAAACCGTGAATGGAATGTGGATGTGGTTCAGTGGTAGAGTCAATGCTTAGTATGCCTAAGACCCTGGGTTTGATTCCCAGTACCAACAAATAAGGATCCCCATGGGCAGCTTCTAGTATTTCATGTACTTTTAAGAGTCCATGGATGGAAATAACAAAACTTTCATGACCCAGCACTCGGGAGGCAGAGGCAGGCGGATCTCTGTGAGTTCGAGGCCAGGCTGGACCGACAGCCTCCAAAACAATACAGAGAAACCCTGTCTCATAAAACCAAAAAAAACCAAAAAACAAAAAAACAAAAAAAAACTTTCATGAATTCTAGGCACTTTCAATTAACTGGCATTTTATTCATCAAAAAGTAATACCTACAAAGAGCTAAGAGACTGCCTAGAATAGTCAAGCCGCAGACAATGGGTCACACCCAGACCTGTAGACTGTCCCCAGCTAACAAATGCTCATCAACACCATTTGGGACCAAAGTCTTTTTATTAGGGGAAGAAAGCATGCATGGTACAGGTGGTTATAAAATAGTTCTGGGGCAAGTGCTGCCACTCAGTGTCATTCAAGTGATGGCCTATAGGGAACATTGTCAGGAGCAGTGAAGAAAATTGCATGCAGGTGACTATAATGTGTATGCACCCCACTTCCTTAGGAGAGTCTAAGCACGTGGTGTTCATGGAGTAGAGCACAGGCATGGCAGGCGCCACCTGCAAGGTGACAGACCAGTGGGGAGGGAAGCATAGGCAGGCAGGCAAAGCAGACCAGAGAGCAAGCAAACACAGAAGCAGGGAAGGCCCTACTTGTTATTATCTACATGGTCCTGAGAGGCTCCCAAGATGCAGGTAAACTAGAACAGCTTTGTCAGCACCGGGTCGGACACCTGCACACAAGTGCCAATACGGCTAATCTTTAGGACATCTGTGATTAGGCCAGATCTGCAGCTATCAGTAATCTGAAGGTTAGCCAATTTTATTTAACAAATATCCAAGATTTTTAGAACCTCAAAGGAAAAAAAAAGTATAATACCTACAAGCAGGATAGTAGTAAAAATGGCTTTACGACACGAAGAAAACATTCGTGATCTAGCCAACAGTTTCCTAGCTAGGCTGAAAGGAGAGCTACCGGGAGGAGGAGGTCACGGAGCAGATCTCTCCAGACTCTAAATGTACCTCACTTCTTGATACTGGTGAACTTCTCCAACTCACCATTCCATCTTGTATCTCACTCTCTGAAAAACCGCAAAACGATTCATCATCAGACTCGGCATGAAAAATGCTGGCCAATTCGTTAGTGACATCTGGCCTTGGTTTCTGTAAAAATCCACAATGGCTTAATACATCTTGCACCTCACCCTTTGAAAAGCTGCAGAAAGATTCATTATCAGAGTCCTCATAAAAAAACATTAGCCGGTTCTTCACTGATATCTGACCTGAATTTAGGTTTCTGTAAAATAAATAAATGTGGTTGTGGATTTTTTTTTTCGTTTTCAAGAACCAATTTTCCATAAACCGTGCAGAGAGCAAATCACATTTACAAGTGCACTACAAGAGACTGGCTTTTGTTACAAAGAAAAATGGTCCAGAGGTTTACAAATGATTTCTGAGTTGTTACAGCAAGTCATCAGTCGTGTTAGGTTAGGCGACATTTCAAAAGGACACAATAAGCAGCTAATCCACCTCCAACAATTACTACCTAGAACCACAGCAAAGAGCAAAATGAAATTACAGTGCATGCCGTATTTTCCTGACGGCTGTATAGAAATGCAGGCAAAAAGCAAGCAGTTTTAATCGTGCACAAAGCATTTTGGGGCATTTGGAGCATTGCAGACTCAATTCTGTTTATTCTCAGGCAGCACTTACTGTGTTTGCAAAATTATCAGAAGCAAAGCTGTCACAACTGTCATCAGAGGATGATGATGTTTCCATGGAAATCAACTTCATATATCTGACATTCTTTAAGTTCTTTACTTTGAGAGCCTTTTGCTGCAAAGAGAAATGGCAAAACCATTAAATGGGATGCTTCCTGCAGTATAGGACTACTAAAGACATCATTTCTCAGCTTGGTAGGTTTAAACAGCAGAAGAGATGAACACTTTTTTTTCAGGCCCTGCAGAGAAAATGATATTGGCGATTGTTACCCCCCAAATTTTTTTCTTCAACTTAGACAAAATTCTCAGAAAGGATCTCTTCTGGAGAACATTTTAACGATATTTATCAATCCATCCACACATCTGCAGTTACTTCTCTTCCCACCCCGCAGTCCTAAGCATTTAGCATTATATTGAACTCCAGAGTTTAATGCCAGCTCCTAAAATTCAACCTCATTTTTTCTAATTGAACTGTACTTCTAAAAGGAGATTTCAAAAGTGCAAGATGGCAGAGCAATTTTTCTCCCTCAGCCAAAAATCAAGCTAATGAGGTCTTTTTATGTAAGCTTTGGGCTCTGCAGTGTGATGCTAATTTCCCAAACTACAAAAATTGGGCAGGTCCTGTGCTTTAAGATGGCAGTCATCCAAACAGGCCCTGTTCCAGTGAGGAGGGGTACAGAGGTTCTGCACAAGTCCTTACAAATCAAGTATCATCAGCCCATAAACACATGACACAAGCTGGAGGGCAACTCATACCCAGAGGCCAAGTGGAACACCTGATTCCATCTGAGCTCCCTACGAACATGGCATCTCCATGCAGCTCTTTCTCACGGCTCCTTAAGACTTGAAGTTTTTACAACAGGGGTAGAGCTCAATGGCAAGCATTGGCCTAACAAGTAGCCCTGGAGCCAATCCCCAGCCCCGGGGTGTGTGTGCGCGTGTGTGCACGTGCGTGCATGCGTGCGTGCGTGTGTGTGTGTGTGTGTGGTGTGTGTGTAAAAGCCTGGAGATATGAAAATGCTCCATTCATTCCCATTTATAGCCCTGTACTGTTCACTAGAAAAATGGTAACTTAACTAGTACAGTTATTTATTGCCATTTCTTAGGACACAAGGACTGCATTAGCTCTTAGTCTTTAAATAGAGTCGAGGAATAGCAGTTTTTCGCCGAAAACCTGAAAGGGCAAGCTCTTACCAGCCCCACAAGAGTGCCCGGATGTGTTAGAGGCCAGAGAATGTCTAGGTGTGCAGAGCTGGACTTCCTTCCTCACCAAACCCTTTGCATTTCAGATTCAATAAAATTATTTCCCAGATGACGACTGCCCAATCTCCCCTCATTACGTGTGGTATTTACAGTACATGTTCGAGTCGATGTGTGTTGTTAGGAGTTGAAGGGATCCCAAAAGTCTCTTCTCCGGTTTCCGGATGAGGAAGCCCAAGACAAAAACCAATCCACTAAAACAGCACAGTGCCTTAATGACGGCTCCCCACCTTTCTAATCAATCTACCTCCATGTCAGCCTCAAGAGAGGCATTCTATCGGAAGCAGTCAGGGAAACAAGCTAAGCTGTAACAAGCCTGGTCAGGCCACGAGTCATTCACAAGCCAAATATCTCCTTGAAAAGACACAGAAAAGCAGAGCAAACGGCCATGCCTGGGGTGAGCTTTCTTGGCGGACATAACTCTGATTCCATTTATGGCGAGTGTTCCTTGGCGGCAGACTTGCTAGCAATGTTTGTCTAATTCTTTGCAGGGTGGCATCGTTACTATCACTTAAATGAGGAAAACTGAAGCTCGGAGACGTTAAACTGATTCCTCCAGTCAGGTGCCCAAATGTGCATCTAGCTCAATTCCCACGGGCGGAGATCAGTTATCAAACCACGACCCCGCCTACCCACCCAGACCTCCCCACAAGGGTCCGGAACCTCCGATTATTTATTTGAAGCACGTCACTGTCTTCCTTTCCGCCCATCCCCCCACCCTTCAACCCTCTTCAGGGCAGGACGTAAGTTCTGGCTTCCGTTGGAGCAAAAAAGTAACGTTCCACTCGGGGCAGCTTGCAGCTGCAAGCGAGGTAGAGAAGGGATGGGTAGGAGGGGACGCTGGGAAGCACACTAAACCGCCGTGGTGCACGGCTTGCATCGCTGGACTCCTCAACTGCGCTTAGTCACAGCCTGGGACTAAAACAATGCCTCTTCCCACGTGCGCAACCCAAGTTCTCAAGAGATGTTCACAAGGCCTTCAACCCTAAACCCACCGATCCAGAGTGGTGGAAGGGGCCTCGGGGCAGAGGAAGCGGGTCCCAGGACCACTATTGCACGCGTGGAAGTCGCGTACCCGCCGTGAGCGAGTAGTGCTGGGCTAAGTCCCAGGAAATGGAAAGGCTGGGATTCTACCGCCGAACTCCACCGCCAGAGGCCAGCCCCCAGCCTCCGGCGCCCACGTGTACCCCGAACGCACGTACCACAGGCTCCCCGAGCGCTGCCAACCCCGTGCGCGCCGGCTGACGCATCACCTTGGCCCAAAGTTACCCTGGGTGCAAAATCCTAAGAAAAACAATCTGTGACTTCCCCCAACCCGGCGACGATCGGTAGCGCCGTGGGACAAGAGAGCGGCGCTCACCCGCAGAGTCGGAGGGAAGTGGCCCCGGCTCGCCTGCGTCCCGCACCCACCAACCCCGCCCCGGTACACCCGGCCGGGCCTCACCCGCGCGCGGCGAGACTCCATGCTGGCGGGTACCCAGGCACTAGGAACCGGGTCAGATCTTCGGAGAACACAAGCACTCGGAACCGGAGAAGCAGGAGCTCCGGGACAGAGGCGGGGCGCGTACTCCGCCGCCGGAGGGGCGGGGCCGCCGATTTCCCGCGCCGGGACACAGGTCCTGCCAGCTAAGATGACTGCTGTAGCAGCCCCTGAAGCGCCCAAGCCCCAGAAAAATATCGAAGCAGTTCCAACCGTAGTAATCCTCAGAGTCCTGGAAAGTGCCGAATGCGCTTTGAAACAGTAACATTTTGGGGACTTAATGCTGCGTGTTATTTATGGAGCTGTGCGGTCCTGGGAAAGTGGCGCGAAAGTGACTGCCGTGGTCCCGGGACCCGCCGACTGATTTGCATGCAACACGGGAGCGGGGTGAGCTGGCAGAGACTGCGTGCAGAGCCAAACCCAGCGCTCTTATTTCTGCTGTGGTTTAATCTCTTAAAAATGGATAAATGTCAAAGAAACCAGCAGCGACACCACCCACAACTAGCTGATTTATCCCGGGGGTTGCACTTCTTATCTGGCAAACCACACCAGTATCTATCTGAAGTCATTAGCTGAGTTAAATCCTGATGCTTCCAGAAAGATTCGGAAGTCGACCATTTTACCCTTGACCCATGGGTTTTAAAATAGCAAACATTCCCTGCAGGTTAAAAAAAAAAAAGAGAGAGAGAGAGAGATTTACTTGAAGGGTAAAAGTCTTTAGAGATTTATCTTTCTGAGATACAAGCTGCAAATGATTACAATGTGGATTGTCCATTTTTCTCCAGGCAAAATTGGGAACTACCCGAGTTAGTTTGAAAGAAGATCTGTTTTTCATAGCCCTTCTCAGCAAACTGGGCACACCAATAAAATAAGTGAGGCTTCTCCCCTTTTAAAGAGGAAAAACACCCAAACAAACAGAAAAACTTGCTTACAGAAGAAACAACAGAAAAAACTGGGGTGCTTTAAAAGTCTTAATTATAATCGGAGATTTAAAACAGTGCTTAGTGAAAGCATTTCCCCCTCATTTTAAAACTTTCCTTTGGTATTGATGTCTCCACAGTCCTTGGCAGGGAATAGAGCATGCGCACAGATACACACACACACACACACACACACACACACACACACTTACACTTCTCTGGATATTGACCCTAAAAACTTATAAATAAATAATGTGGGAAGACAGTGGTTGGAAGGAGTTGCCCAAAGATCACCCTCTGCACCAGAGACAAAGAACTCCAGTTCCCAAACTAGGCATAAGAAGAAGCCACTCTTGACTTGTTTGGCAAAAATCTTGATAGCAGCCAGATCCTCAACCAAACATTTGTTGGGTGAATAAACAACTTACCGACCGGTGAACTAAAATCATCCTCATGCAGTGTTCTTATGAATATGGTCACTGAATGGAGGACATCCAAGTCACTTTGTCTGTGTAAAGTTCTGACAAGAGCATTCTTAGTCTTCTTGAGACATTTAGAAAATAATCTTGGGTTGAGGAGGTACAGGCAGATAGCACATGCCTTTAATCCCTGCACTTGGGAGACAGAGCAGATGGACCACTGTGAGTTGAAGGTCAGCCTGGTCTATAGCTCAGCCAGGACTGTTTCACAGAGAAACCCTGTCTTAAAAAAAAATCAGTTCTTACAAAAGCGTTAGTAGTATAGACTTCATGTATTAGAGAGCAACTCAAGAACAAAGGCACTTCAAGATGAGGTGCCCTAGAGGAGGAGTTTCTGTTAAGGCCATGATGGGAAGTCACTGAAGGATTTACAGGCTGGGACCCAATCTGACTCCATGGATAGTATAGACAGGGAAGAGGCCAGGAGTGGGTAAGAGCTGGAGATGTTTAGGATACTAATGGCCATTGTAGAGCATGGAGAATTGTTCAGATTTAAGAGACTTTATTTTGAAATTAGAGCCAGTTGGGCCAGAGGAGTAGCTGGCTCCTTCCTATTAGCATAGTATATCAGGGCAAAATATTGCAAAGGAGCTAAATGACACTTGTATTTGTGTGCCATCACTGGAACAAAAGTCTCTGACATAAACATGGAGGTGAGGGTAATGAAGGAGGAGAGATGTATTTGGCTGTTCAGGCTTTCAGAAGGTCTCTGCAAGAGGGTGTGGGGAAAGCCAGGGTGACACGGAAGGAGTGGACCTGCCCTCCTGCCCCTTTTTGTGCCGTCAAAGCCCCCAGCACCTAGAATGATACAAGACGGAAACAGTGGTCCAGGCATGAACTGGGATTTAAACAATAGTTCATTCTTGCATCAATGTAGCTAGCTCCTAAAACAGTGCTGAGTGAAAAGGTGAACGAAATTTTAAAAGCACAAAACAGATAAACCGTGAAGGAGTCAAAATGAGAACAAGTGGAGTAAGATAGATGTGAGAGAGAGAGAGAGAGAGAGAGAGAGAGAGGTGTGGAGGAGGGGGATTGGGACTTTTGGATCATGAGTGCAAGGAAGAAGAGAGTGGGAGAGAGTGGGGGAGGGGGAAAGGGACTAGGAGGGGAAGGAGGAGGAGAAGGCAATGTATCATTGTCAGACACAGTGACATAGTATCCCAGCACCAGGGAAGGAGAGGCCGGTCGATCTACAGTTCAAGGTCATCCTAGGTCATAAACATAAACCTAACATGAAGCAAAGGTGGCAGACGAGTAAATGAGAGGAATGAGAGCACATGAGTAGCTTTTATACTTTTAGTCTCTGTGCATTTTTTCAATATGAAGCATTTCATAATATTAAAATTTCCAGGGTTTTTTTGTTTTGTTTTGTTTTGAGACAGGGTTTCTCTGTATTGTTTTGGAGGCTGTCCTGGGACATGCTCTATATACTGGGCTGCCTCTGCCTCCCAAGTGCTGGAATTAAAGGCATACACCACCAACACCCAGCTTAAAATTTCCAGTTTTGAAAAATGTATGTATTCTACATCAATAACGACATGGACAGACTTAAATATGCATTGCCATTACAGGGTCTCCAATGTCAAGTCACTGCGCCGATCACACGCCGGTATGGTTTAATTTTGAATGGAAGACTCAAAATGAACAAGCGTGGAGCCACAGCACACAGGGAAAGATGAGGACTCGGGCTCCCACAGCAGTGCAAAGGAATGCCGGTCCCTAAGCCTGGTGCATGCGGACTTCAGCAGAGGGCTGGACAGCAGTGGGCATTCAGTAAATACTATTAGCTAAAATGATTAGAAGGCTGTGAAGCCTTCTAAATGACCCGCCTCCCGCACGGGGCTTTGATTTCCCTGGGTTATTATGCACTTTAAGACTTCTGGGCGTTTCCCCATGCCTGTCTTCACAAAGAATTCCATTGCCTCTAGTTGGAAACTTGATAGTGACATCCTAAGCCTTCAGTTACTTTTATAATGAGGTGAACCGAAGTCAGACTTTAACTTAGGATGATTTGGATTTTGAACAAAGAGTACAACAAGGTGTAAAATGTTATTTTCAGATAAGATTTCAAAAAAGTGCTGAGGTCTGAATGGATGCTGGGTCCACCTACCTGGTGGTGGGGTAGTAACATGAACCCAGCTGGTGTTAGCAAGCAAAGCTTCCAGTAGATCAGACACACCTGGAGACAAAGGGCCCAGTGGGTTTTACTGTGTTGGTGGGTATGTCAGGTCACAAATCTCTATTTTCAATAACCCTTTAATTATAGATTTGCCTCCCTGTGTCTGCTTTCAGAATACATAAAGGAAAAACCGCTAATAGATCTTCTGACTATGGAAGGATAACTCAGTAGGAGGGCCCAGTCCTTTGCCACCCAGGGGCTCTGGAAGTTCAGAAATATTTCACTCTAGCTGAACTGGAATGTTTGCTATTCATTCTATGTCAACATTGTCTTAGTAGGTCAGTTTGCTGACATCAGATACCTGATTACAGAATGTTGAAGAAATAAATGAAAAGATCTGTGTGTGTGTGTATCCATTTTTATCAAGAAGGAAATATATCTTCTTGGATGAACATTTTATATTGTTAGCTGCAGGTGTTAGAACATTGTGCTTTCTAAAATTTTATTGTGTGTGTGTCTTTAAGTACTTTGTGTAAAGCTGTACCCTCGGGACTGGAGAGATGGCTCAGCGGTACAGAGCACTGACTGTTCTTCCAGAGGCTCAGGGTT